GAACTAGTGGTGTAAAACTCAGTCAGCTCGTCACTACACTGGTTGAAAGGCATCTGAATACATGCGAAAAATGGTCTAAAACCATACTCTCCGACCCTCAACACCCCCTCTATTCCCAACTCTCTCCTTGTATCTCATCAAGTAGAACCAGAAATCAGTATAAAATAATATATGCTCGTACAACCAAGTACAGGAACTCAACGATACCATATTTGGCCCGTGTTCTAAGTGACAGAGACAATGTTAAGCGCGAAACCTATGACTTGCTTTGTTGTTATTAACATAATTTTAGGCTCTTTTATTTCTCTCTTATTTTGTATTCTATAGTGAACTCCTTCTTAAACATACTTAGCTACCTAAATTATTAACACTGGCTAACTTTTTTGTACTTTACTCTATTCCTTCTTTTGTGTATCTACTGGTTCCGACTATATTAGCACTATGAGTATTACAAAATTGTCCTGTCATTAACCATCATGTAATTATTAGTTTTTGTGGTTGTTGTTGTTTTTTTTGTTCAGCAACATTAACTGTCAATCTTGGTTATGAAAGCCATTATCACCATCTTAAAACTTTTGTATTATGCAGGATTACACACACTACCACTACAAACACCGCATTAGACCTGACAATAAAAAAACAACCCTGAAATATTATTTTATGATTGTTTCAACCAAATTAACAGATCTTCTTGGCGATAAACATTCTTGAATATCATTTCATAACTTCTTGTAAGACTATAGCTTTACTGTCACCATGCATAACCATATCATAGCTTCCACTACCCAATACTGAGATATTATTTTATGTTGTTTATTTTCTTTCTACTTCTTGGTATTTTTTCACATTTTACTTGTTTATTATTTTTGTGTTTTTTTTGTTGTTGTTGTCCTTATATTTATTTTTGAATTATTCCTTTTAAATGTTTGATAAAATCAGATGCAAATATTGTAGATATGTGCTGAAAATTCCACACTGTACCACTAGTACTGTTTCTGGAATCAAGCAAATTATTATTATTATTACTAATCTTAATTTTGCTTTACGAGTTCACCTTCTGCATACAGCTGCAGCACTAGGAATCCACCTGAAGAAGCCAAACTTGTGTGTCCAGAAGAAATCTGTACAGCCAGTTTCCTTACCTTGGCCATCGTTACATGATTGTATAAACCAGACTACTTCGCCCCATCCTCCTAAACTTTTAAAAATTATAAGTGTCCAAATTATTATTTTTTTTCACTACTTCATCTTTAATTACGTTACCCTTGTAAAATTATTTAATTCTTATGACCACTTCAGCCTTAGTTACAAATTATCATTATCCAAATCGTTTCATTTTCTTCAACAATCTGTTACGTAATCAGCCTGTGCACACGCTTATTCCTTAATTAATCTTCATTTTTCCAAAATTATACATTCTAATTGTTGTAACCATTTCTACCTTTTAATTGTGTATATTAATTTTCTTTGTTAATTATCAACCCAATGACATTTTGACACTGACTAATTATTGTTAACAAACATATCACCACTTGATAGGTAAATTGTTGTGTATTGGAATAAAAATGCTATATATATATATACATATATATATATATATATATATGTATATATATGTCTTCACCTGGCTCCATGTCTGCCCACACGTTTCCATCTCCTCTTCACATGACCTCCTCCAAGTCATCCTTGCACTGACGACCAACTCGCCGATTCCCTTTCGGGTTCCACTCAAGGGCTTGTCTAGTGGTGTCACTTGATGGTTTCCTCAGAGTATGGCCAATCCATCTCCATTTCTTCCTGCCTATTTGTTTCACAATCGGTTCTTGGTTGGTTCGCTCCCAGAGATCTCTGTTGCTGATCTTTTCTGGCCGGCCATCTGATCTTGAGTACTGAGCGAAGACAACTGTTAATGAAGGTTTGTCGTTTGTTTGAGATGCTCTTTATGACGCGCAGTGCAAGTCTCTGATCCGTAAAGTAGCACTGACTTCACATTGGAGTTGAAAATCTGGATCTTACATTTGATGCTGAGTGCTGTTGACCTTCACACAGACTTGAGAGTAGTGAAAGCTTGTCTTACTTTCCCGATCCTCGCTTTCATATCCGCATCATTTCCATCAACCTGCAGTTGAAATGATGCTTCCCAGATAGGTAAAAGAGACTGTTTCTTTCAGGTTCCTTCCATTTATGTTGATCGTTGTCTGTTGTTGTTGTTCTCGTCCAGGAATCTTCATCACCCCTGTTTTCTCTACGTTCACCTGAAGTCCTATCTTCTCTGGATGCTTCTTCTGCCAACTTGTTGCTTTTCGCTTGCATATCTTCCAGTTTGTGGGAAATCAGACATATATCATCGGCGAAGTCCAAATTCTCCAAGTTTTTTGTGTGAGTCCATTTTATGCCTGTTTCCTCATTGCCCGCTGTTTGTTGCATTATCCAATCTACTGCAATCAGGAAAATCATTGGCGATAGTAGGCAACCCTGTCTTACTCCTGTCCTCACTTCGAAGGATTCCGTAAGTTTCCCGTTGTGGATTACTTGGCATGCAACATTGTCTTACAGCTGTTGGATGAGATGTATAATTGTCGGTGGCACCCCGTAGTAGCGAAGTAGTTTCCAAATCACCTCTCGATCGACGCTGTCAAATGCCTTATGAAAGTCGATGAAGTTGAGATAGAGAGGTGACTGCCATTCCAAGCTTTGTTCAATGATGATCCGTAGTGTGGCGATTTGATCAATACATGACTTGTTTCTCCTGAATCCAGCTTGTTCTAGTCGAAGTTTTTCATCCAGGGCTTGTTTGATCCTTTCCAGGATGATGCGGCTTAGTATTTTGCTTGGGATGGACAGGAGCATAATTCCGAGCCAGTTCTTGCATTAACTTAGGTCTCCTTTCTTTGGTATTTTGAATAAGTATCCTTTCTTCCAATCCTCGGATACTTTGCCTTCTTTCCCCACCTTCTCCAGTAGTGGCGTCAACAAGCCTGCTGTTGTCTCTGGGTCCACTTTCAATGCTTTTGCTGGGATTCCATCTGGTCCTGCTGCTTTTCCAGCTTTCAGCATCTTCATGGTCATCAGGACTTCTGATTTCGTCGGGGAGTTGGTGTTCACTAGTAGCTCTGTCTCCGTTGTTGGTATTGTTGGGCGCGTTGTCGGTGGTGGTCGATTTAGGAGTCTTTTGAAGTGTTCAGCCCAGTGTTTCCTTTGCTCCACTTCTTTAGTGAGTGACTTTCCGTTGTCATTCTTCACCGGCTTAATTTGTGTCAAACTTTTGCCCGATAGGTACCTAGTTGTTTGGTAGAGTGTTGCGAGATCTCCTTTGCCTGCAGCTTGTTCTGCTTCACTTGCCATGGCTTCATAATATTTTCTTTTGTCTTCCCTGGCACTCTTCTTTACTCTTTTGTTCAGTGTCTTGTAGTTTGCATTCAAATCCTGTTTTTGTTGCTCGTCAGTGCACTGGAGAATCTTTTGTTTCACCATCCTTCTCTTTTTTATCAGTCTCCAAGTGTCCGTTGTGAGCCACTGTTTGTCCTGTCTCTTCTTTCTTCCATGCAGGTTTGACTCCACACTGTTTTTAAGTTGTTCCAGTGTTTTTCGACGCTGACCTCTTCGCTAATGTTGATCTGTGTCTCGGCTTTGTCCTTTATGCTTGCAGTGAAGATGTCCTTTGTGTCCTGGTCCTTCAGTTTTTGAGTGTTGAACTTGGCTTGTGGTCTATCTACAGCTCCTGTTTCTCTGAAAGCTTTTAATTTGAGTTGGATTGTTCCTTGTACGAGGTAGTGGTCTGAGCCAACGTCTGCTCCCCTTCTTACTTTCGTGTCCAGCAGGCTGCACCGCCACTTCCTTGAGATTGAGATGAAGTCGATTTGGTTTTTGGTTCGCCCATCTGGTGACACCCATGTAGCCTTGTGGATATCTTTGTGTTTGTATACGATGCCACCAATCACTAGTTCATTGAAGGCGCAGAAGTCGGCGAAGAGTTCTCCCTTTTCATTCATTTCTCCGAGAGCTTCTCTACCCATGATGAGTTCCCTTCCTGTGTTGTCTGATCCCAGTTTGGCGTTCATGTCTCCCATTAGTATTTTAATGTCACCAGCTGGAATATTGTCCATTGTTGCCTGTAGTTGTCTGTAGAATTCTTCTTTCTTTTCGAGGTTTGCGTTGTTTGTCGGTGCATAGCATTGTATAACTGACACTTTCCTTCCTTTGGGGTTGAATCTAGCGGTCATTATCCTGGGCGAGATCGCCTCCCATTGCTTCAGGGCCTTCGTAGCCGTTGGTGACATCATGATAGCCACACCCTCGGTGTACATGTGGTTATCCTCTGGGTGACCGGAGTAGATCACTGACTCACCCGTTGACAATATGGTGAGTTCATTCCCGTTCCATCTGCTTTCACATATCCCCAGTACTTGAATTCCGTATCTGTTCATTTCGTTCGCGATCTGGGCAGCTTTGCCAATCTCGTACATAGTGCGGACATTCCATGCCCCCACACAGACTTTTTCTTTTGGCGCAATGAGATTCGTCGTGCTGAAGTTTCTGTAGCAGCTTTGTTTACAGGGTGGGGTTGCTAGCCTCACGCCTGAGAAGGGGATTGTTACATTAAAATATAGTTTAGAGAGAAGCGACCTTGTGTGTTGCTCCCCTTAAAACCAGGAAAACAAGGAATAAAACAATCAGAACAACACCAGCACAGGAAAATAATTCACAACAAGAAGGGTAACAAGGGACAACAACAAAAATAATGTCACAGTCAAGTACAGTTAACCAAACTGATACCAAAATCATAGACTCACTGACTCATATATATATATATATATATATATATATATATATTAGTGTAGAGCCAAAGATGAGGATCTAATTGGAAAGTGAATATTTCTTCGCTCAATCTTTCTGTTTTCGAAATGAGGTAACTCGAGATTTTACGCTATTTCACTATAGATTAGCGATGAATTCTAATTCCCTGAAACGCTCAGTGAAAATCAAAAGTAAAAGGTATACAGAAAATTTTTTTATCTGCACTGTGTACAATAGAAACATTAGCTAAACAGATTCAGTTTTAGCACGTTTCTTAGCTGGCGTGATGAAATGTTCACTTTCTGATGACTCTTTGATATTAGAAGGTGGAAAGCTGTGAATATCTTCTGTTACATCTTTATTATTCGACTCAGTAAGACCATGCGACTGACAAGTGATAGTATCTACAATTCTCCTCAAACTAAACAAATTCGAAGCTGTCAGTTCGAGCAGTCTGTTGACTTTTCTAAACCCAGTAATCTCCATTAGTTCTTCACTTGTATAAGTATCTGATAGAAACAGATGATGAAAAAAGAGGAACTTCGATAAGCATAAAATCTAGAAAATACATGTCACACAATAAGCAACGACTAAAGAAAGTAATTAGTCTTTTATAAACAAAATTAACTATTATGCGATTGTACGGTAAAAAAACAGCCCGTCTTGAAATTCAGCAATATTTTGTAGATCAAACTATCAACCAGTTCTAAAGTACAATCTTTTGAGCAGTATTTCAATAGTCTAGTAAGCAAGCCCGTACATTCTCTTCATTAATCTTAAAATAATGATAACAGCAAGTGTAAAGTTTCCATAAGCACATGTAATTAAACATGATTTATACTAAGTATTTTGACATTCCCAGTACACATGAATTACTCCTAGCGAAGATTATCACTTTGTCTAGTGTCTGTACTAAATTTTTAAGTATCTTAAAATGTCATCAGGTTTGTGACATGGAACATTTTAAATAACTGAAGACGAATGACTGAGAGATAAAAGGACACGTTGATTTTGACAGAAGCTACCTTGATTCGTTTTTTATACCGACTGATCTAAGGCTGCTTCATGCATGCGCGGATGATACGGATAGAAAATGTCACACGCCAATACTAGTGAAACCAATGGTGACAATGCAAATCTGACACTTGATACGGCTAATAAACTGCAAAATTAGTAGACCTTGGTTTTCTCCCCCTCCAGCACGACATTCTATATATGGAGAGGAATATGTCTCCAGCATAATCGAAATCTGCTTTGATTTATGTCAAGTTATATCTGTTGAAAAATATCTGCATACAAACTTTGGTGGGTTTTAATAACCTGCAATCTATCATCACATAAGACCCCTTAAAACATTAAATTCCCTCTGAAACTCCATTTTTTAATCTATGTAGGTTCCCAGACATGCAATGAACAGTGTGTAACTGATTAACCCAATAATTAGTCAAATTATTTGCTAACGTTCAAAAACTAACAAACTTTATATCAAAATATGACGCATATAAACATAGAGAAGGAACAAAAGATAACATGAGTCTTCTTGAAATGAGAGATGTGGCTTGTTGGCTTCAGCACTCTGCTTTCAGCCGGTGAATCCTGGATTCAAATCCCACTACATTAACTTTAATCTGGCAGCTGGATGGTGTCATCACACTCCACACAATAATTGTCTGACTCACACGTGACGTGTACTACTGACAAGAATTATAAGCGGTGAATAAATTCGGATATAAATGTGTATCATTTGCAAGAATATCGAAAAGTGGAGAGAAGAAATGAACGATGCTTGTGAAGAAACAACACGGAAAACAGGAAGAAAGACAACAAAACACAATACAGAAGACAACAGTAGCACAATACTAAAGATAAATGTAAATTGTGATTCTACTATATAGTAGACACATTTTGCCTATAACCGTATATCGAGTTGCTAATAAATAATTCTGTTACCAAATACTCATGTCTTCTACCGTTACACACAACCTGGAACATAAAAGACCAGTTCCAGGTAGGTGAATTCATACATTCATAAAATGAAGGAGACGAGCAGTATTCTTGGGTCATTACTATCTAGGCTGTAAACACTATGAATGGGTAATAACTTATTTTTTAAATATGTATTGAAAAATCCTTGTGTTAATGTGCTTATAAAAGTAGCTCCTTACTATCTTACAGAAATGTGATATATATATATATAATATTATATTCGTGTATTAGAACCTATTCGTCTGGTTCACAAGGCTGTAGCATATTCTCCAAACAAATTTCTGTAAGTATACTGATATCCAGTGATGAACCGTTAGATAAGCAGTATGACAAATCATTACCGCAGCGTGTGCTACTGAAAATGACTTGTAAGTAGTATATTGGTGAATGCTCAAAATCTTGAATGGCAGAAAGACGGACTAAGTTCCAGAGACGAAATGCAAGTATGAGATGACGACGAAAGAAACAGCATACTTCTTTGCTGTGTAATGTTTTCACGTCTCACCATCACTGTATGTCACTTCGTTAAACAGACAATCCTAATACTAAATACCAGTGTTTTGCAGTTTCATTGTACTTAGGATACTGGAGAGACAAATGGCATACAAACAATTTTCAGCTGCAAGTTCTGTTTGAATGCAGAGGCTTTCCTTATGTGTCATTTAAAGGCAAGGGATAACCCTAGTATCAGTATGGCCATCCAGACACTATCAGAGTCCTCATAAAATCATACGTATATTGGCAAAGGCTTCATAACTCTTATTCACTGCATAATTTCCATTATCTTAGGAATATGATGAATAAACACCAAATTAGTTTAAACCTTTTTTGATATAGTCCTTCTAATGTATTTTTATGGTGCCTATTTTTTGTGACTTACTGGTTTCAAGATAGAACTTTGCACAAAAGTGCAGCAGTTCAGCTTGCCACACAAAGGAATACAAAAGGGAAAAAAGAGAATCGGAAGATAACAAGAAGAAATATGAGGGGAGTGGGGTGGGAAAGAACAGCAACATGGAAAAACAAATAGGGTTTAATAGATATGGCAGATCACAAAGAGTGAATGCACCTGAGAACTATTTCGAGCCATATTACCAATTGTCTCCAGCTACTGGCTTTTACCATCCTGAAGACACCAACCACGGAGTCTACACTTCCCTGCATGGCTCAGAACAACTGTCACACTTCATGTGCCGATGCCAACTTTTGGTTTGACTACCCTTAAACCTTTTCCAACTCAATCCAATGTCGGCTAACACTGCTCGTCGAGGAAGGCGATGACTAGGCATGAGCAGCACATGTCCTAGCCATCCCTCAACCCATGTAGCTGCACAACCCCGTCGACTGATTTACCCTTCACACCTAACACTACACCTTACCTCAATATTGCTCACCCTATTATACCCCCTAACACGGGGGATAGTATGCAGTGATCTATGATCGAAGACAGCTGGCCTTTTCATGTCTTCCAATGTCAGTGGCCATGTTTCACCATCATAAAGGAGGAAAGATCGAACTGTTAAGCAGTAGACACGTCCTTTGATCGATAGCCGGATATCAAGTCTACACCAGGGATGAGTTAAGTCCGTTACATGTAATTCTTCCTCTCATCGGCCATAACAGTCTTTTGCTGTTTTGACAAATATTTTCCTTACAATAATACTTCTCGACTCAACGAATTTAAGACTAAGATATTTTTTGAAGATTTACATATACATCGTTAACACCTTAGTTTAAACAATTCAATGAATTTTTCTGGAACACTGAGAAGTTCCACCTTTAATGTAGACAAGATTTAATACACATTTAATATACCGAGTAGATGCTGACGATCAGTACTTCATTTCCTGATGCTGAATGCATATTTCATACTTCTATATCTTGTGGTATTAGTAATCTTATTTACCCTAAAGGTATATTGAAAGCCGTAGTAAAAGTTATACAATTCAAGTGCTTTCCAATCAGTAATATGTTAATCAGCAATAGTAAAAAGTTTCTGTACGGAAAAAGAATACCCATGTTTACATGAATTCCAGTCTGAATGCACCAAAAGTACATTTTATCGGTGTGGTGTGAGCATTTTCATAAACGTTTAGCATTTATATTATACACTATTCACATCTTTCATTTTTGTTTAAACCAGATTCTATACTGGAATTATAAAACGAATAAAGCCTTTATTGCGGGCCCTCAATATTCTCACTTGATCGGTGAATGTTTGATTAACTCATAAACACTACAATTTATTCGTTTTATTATGGACAAGATATTACGTCCTGAACGCTTTGATGCTGATTCCAATTGCCAAACATCTTCGAAGATTTGGAATCATTGGTTTCGTACATTCAATACTTTTATCACTAAATCTTCAACTCCAGATTCAGACAAACTTGATGTTCTCATCAACTATATCTCACCTACTGTATATGAATACATTGCTGAATGTAAAACATTTGACGGCGCTCTTAGTACTCTTGAGAAACTGTATGTCAAACCAAAGAACGAGATTTTTGCTCGACATCTATTATCCACATGCAAACAAGAAACTGGACAGAGCCTCGACCAATTTTTACAAAAACTGAAACCTCTGGCAAAAGATTGTTCATTCAAACCTGTCTCGGCTGAACAAAATCAGAATGATGCAATACGTGACGCATTCATAAGTGGAATGCAATCTAATAATATACGACAACGTCTTCTGGAAAACAAATTACTTGATCTTGATACTGCTTATGAACAAGCTCGATCCCTAGAAATGGCTTATCAACAATCACATTCGTTTCATCCTTCCGAATTCTCCAATTCTGCTGCAATATCAAACAGTGATACATCAAATGAACTAAACTCTTATGTGGGTGAAACAGGATTGACTGCTTCAATAAATGAGAAATGCTACTTCTGTGGATTTACTAGACATCCTCGCTCTAAATGTCCTGCAAGGGATGCAGTATGCAAACTCTGTGGTAAGAAGGGGCATTATCAGAAGGTCTGCCGGCCAAAATCGTACACCAAAACTACATCAGTTACTAGTTCTTTGTTGTCTTCCATGACTCTAGCTGCCGCTCCACAGTCTCTCACCAATGCGGTTGTGCAGCTTTTTGTAAATGACATTCCCCTACAAGCCCTCGTAGATACTGGGAGCTCAGACAGTTATATTTCTTGTGCAGTCGTTCAAAAACAACATATAAAGGTAGAGCATTCTCGCACTTCAATCACAATGGCTTCCACAAGTCTGACAACTCATACTCATGGTCACTGTTATGTAAATCTACGTTATAAAGACTCGAGTTACTCACATATCAAACTTTCAGTGTTGCCAAATCTGTGTGCTGATGTGCTATTAGGTCATGATTTTTTACGCTTGCATAATAAACTCGAAATTCCATTTGAAGGTAAAAACAATCCATTTTCACTGTGTAATCTTGTTGCTGCACATATTGATCCACCTCCCTTGTTTCATAACCTAACACCCAAATGTGTTCCGATCGCTACAAAATCACGAAGACATTCCACTTCAGATGAACATTTCATCAAGCTGGAAATCGAAAATTTACTCAGTGAGCAGATCATCGAGCCATCTAACTCCCCTTGGCGCGCCCAAGTTTTGGTCACTACTAATGAACGCCACAAGCGTAGAATGGTGATTGATTACAGCCAAACGATAAATCGTTTCACATTATTGGATGCCTATCCACTCCCAAAAATTGATGAGATGATTGAAAAGATTTCAAAATATACTGTATTTAGCACTTTGGATTTAAAGAGTGCTTACCATCAAATACCCATCAAAGAAGAAGAGAAACTCTTCACAGCTTTTGAAGCTTGCGGCAACCTCTATCAGTTCCGTCGTATTCCCTTTGGTGTCACAAACGGTGTTTCGTGTTTTCAGAGAGTTATCAGTCAGATTATCAGAAATGAAAATCTTCAAGCTACATTTGCTTATTTAGATAATATAACTATTTGTGGTGAAAACACAGAACAACATGCAAAAAATCTTGCCCGGTTCTATGAAGCATCCAGAAAATATGGGCTAACATTCAATGAGAATAAAAGTGTTATTGGCGTTAAACAAGTAAAACTTCTAGGCTATGAAGTTTCTCATAAAATGATCAAACCTGATCCCGATAGACTTCAAGCATTATGGAATTTATCACCTCCACGAGATCTTAAATCCCAACAGCGAGTCATTGGTCTCTTTGCGTATTATTCACAATGGATATCTCATTTCTCCGATAAAATTCAACCCCTTATACAAAATAAAATCTTTCCATTACCAGGTACTATTGTAAGCTCATATGCAGCATTAAAAAATGAACTTGCTCAATCTGTGATGACTACTGTGGATCTCGACTTGCCCCTTATAGTTGAAACCGACGCTTCGGATACTGCTATAGCTGCCACGTTAACACAAAATGGTAGACCCGTTGCATTTTTTTCCAGAACACTATCACCAAGTGAACGGCATCACTCAGCGGTGGAGAAAGAAGCTTATGCCATCGTCGAAGCTATTAGAAAATGGCGTCATTATTTACTTGGTACTCATTTCCAACTCATTAAAGACCAACGATCAGTTTCTTTCATGTACGATATGAACCACCATGGGAAAATAAAGAATGACAAGATTCAGCGTTGGCGAATAGAGCTTTCTTGTTACAGTTTTGATATAATCTACCGTTGTGGCAAAGAAAACAAAGTCGCCGATGCATTATCTCGCGGATATTCTGCTTCTGTCATGGGTGAAACTAATCTGAAAGACCTACATAACTCTCTGTGCCATCCAGGAGTTGTTTGCCTTCTTCACTTTGTGCGTTCTAAGAACCTACCTTTTTCTGTTGATGATGTGAAGAGGACGATATCTAGTTGCGCAGTTTGTGCTGAGCTGAAACCCAGGTTTTGCAAAGTATCCACAGGAAATCTTATTAAAGCGACTTCTCCTTTTGAACGTCTAAATATTGATTTCAAAGGACCTCTTCCTTCAAACTCCCGGAACAAATATCTTCTTACGATAATTGATGAGTACTCTAGATTTCCGTTCGCTTTTCCTTGCCAGGATATGACAGCATCAACTATTATTAATTGCCTGTGCCAGTTGTTTTCCCTGTTTGGTATGCCATCCTACATGCATTCAGACAGAGGATCGTCGTTTATGTCTGCAGAATTAAAACATTTTCTCCACGATAAAGGAATAGTTACCAGTAGAACAACAGCATACAACCCCCAATCAAATGGACAGATTGAACGTCTCAACGGCACTCTCTGGCGATGTATATCACTAGCTGCTAAATCTAGGTCCATACCAATCTGTGAGTGGGAGGTTGTTCTCCCCGACGCTCTTCATTCTATCCGTTCTCTTTTATGTACTGCCACAACTACTACTCCACACGAACGGATGTTCAGGTACAATCGAAAATCAACGTCTGGTGTTTCTCTTCCCAGTTGGTTAACTATTCCTGGACCGGTCTTGATGCGCCGTAATGTACGTTCTAAATATGAATCTCCAGTTGATGAAGTTGAACTGATTGAATGTAATCCCAAGTATGCTCATGTGAGACTTCCAGATGGACGTGAGGAAACAGTATCTATTCATCATCTTGCACCAAAAGAACATATATTTCAATCGCCCGTTAGCATGCAGATTCCAGACGCAGTACCAGAATGCCTCCAAAATCAACTTACTGAAGACGACATATCCACCCGTTCTACAGATACTGAAACTCCTATTTTGACGGACAATTTAAGTGAAAATGTCAAAATTGATCCGAAACCATCTTCTTTACTAGAGAAACAACGAAGGGTTCGTCCATACAATCTGAGAAGCCGCGAAGTCTAAACAATTTTAAAAGTCTTGACTCCTTGTGCTCTGTATTCTCAAACGAAAGGGGAGAAGAATGTGGTGTGAACATTTTCATAAACGTTTAGCATTTATATTATACACTATTCACATCTTTCATTTTTGTTTAAACCAGATTCTATACTGGAATTATAAAACGAATAAAGCCTTTATTGCGGGCCCTCAATATTCTCACTTGATCGGTGAATGTTTGATTAACTCATAAACACTACAATCGGTAAGATTATCTATCACAGTATACATTTGAAAAACGAGTTTAAATGATGGTGTGCTGATTTAAATTATAAAAAACCTAACCTGCGAGGTTGAATCAGGATTTTTCTGGTAGGTGACTATCTTTTGTGATTGAATTGCTGAATTGACTAAGTGTTATTGTTGTTGTTAGAGAAAAGGTGAGTGAGTACATACGTCTTTTATAGTTGACAAAGATATTTCTAAACATTAAACAATTAGGACCACTTCCTAAAGCTTAGTATCGATTGAAGTTAGGTCAAAATCAGCAGATCATAGTAGAAAATAGCACAAAATGCATCCTGATAACAAAAACTCAAGCAATTGTTAAGGTGATGAGTGACTAATTTGAGAACCGACGAGCCAGAATCCATTCGTATTCATAAGTGTGGGATTAAAATTCGATTGAATATATTTCTCTTGTGGCCTATTCTAAGTATCCATCACTGTACTAAATGAAACAACCCACTGAGCAAAAACATATTTACTATGTAACTAGATCCTTGTAAACACGGTATATATATATATATATATATATTACTCAGTCTTCAGAGATATCTTACTAGTACACTAAACAGTGCAAGTTAGGAAATTAAAAATACCACTTTCGTATCCACCCGAAGATCTTGTCAGTAAACAGTTTGTTAGACCAAAGGTAAGTGGTTAATGAATTTGACCAGTTCACTTAGTATCTTTACATTAAAAGCAAGCGTGAATTGATTTTTAAGCGACAGCCTTACACCTGAAATATATAGACCTTTACCTTAAGCATTATAAAAATTCTGCACTTATCAGCGTCTTAGATAGATAACAATGAAAATTTTAAAAGTAATATTATCATGAGTTAAGCATATCGACCACCCACACCTAAAATATGAACTTACTCAGGATACAATGATATAATTCCAAGCACACTGCAGCAGCATCCTTATTCCAGACGTTATTGTATATAAATCTGAAAATATATTCCAGCTGATGATTGTCTCTCCCTGCAACCGCTGCTGTTAACGTGTCTCTCCTTATTAATTCACGTATGACGGCAAGTGACATGTTGAGACAATACCGAGGATCTGGAGGAGCTGTTTTCTTTGATCGTCGCATCCAAGACTGGCAAGTTAGAGCTAAAGTGAGAGCGCGTGAATGATTGAAACGTCTCAATAACGTGTCCACACGACTAGATGTATTCGTCAAAGTATGAGCATAAAACGATCGACTACTGAGAGATATTTCAGTTTGCTGTTATAGTTGCAAATAAAAACAGTCAAAAAAATTGCAGATACTTGAACATTACCAATATATAGTGAATTACCATGACATAGGCAAATAATCTGACATATTCAATAGACTTACCTATCTTCTTTAAGACTATATGCCTAACTGTGGCAGCTAACACGATAGTTCCACTAAACGTGGATAGTGTTATGAGAACAGAGAATATTTGGAGCTTTTGCAGACCTGTTTCTAAGTATGACTGATGAACAACATGTGTCAAAAAAGCCACAGCTAGGTGATAGTTGAATGAGCCTTAATGAGGAACTGCAATCTCTATGTTTTGTAAAGATCAAACACGACCTCATTGAGTAATACAAATGCAGAACAAAATGTTAGTCTTCTGCCTGAGATAAAATTGCTTTCTTGGCACTACATCCAATGAGGTTTGCATAAATAGATGCAGTTGCTTAAGTTGTCAAATTTTTTAGTGATCACAGTTATCAAAATTTGGTTTAGCGGATAGACTAAAATGAAAACTAGCGACCAAATCAGTTCACTGAACGTAAGTAAAACAAAATACCACGTGTTTACCTGATGAACCAGTGGAACAACTGGTTTTGAGACTTTGTTGACCTCATCGGTTGAAAACCAATCTTTAGGTGCACGACGTGAACCAGTCACTGGAACTTCCGACCATTCATTCATTGTCATTAGCATAAAACGATCTTTTTTCTTGGGCTTTGAAAATTCAGATAACAAACTTATATAGGGTTCTTCTGTGTCACTGGGGACAGTTTCATTCTGTCTCTGAGAAAACGATGAGTTTAGTTTTCGATCATAGTGTTTAATTCTAACGAAACCACGTTCTCCTCCTATCACAATAGTTTCACATTTCGGCTAAAATATTAAGAACCAGAAATAGAGATGTGAGTAAATCGTTGAACTACGACAAATCTGAATTAAATGTCAATTATAGTAGGAGGTAAACCTGAAAATATTCAGGGAGTAAAGCAAAACACAAGTGATGTATCAAATTAAACACTGTGCACCTACTAATTCATCAGCTTCCCATAGCCTAAATGCTAATCATAAGGGTGGGGAATAAAAGAGCAAGAACGTATTTATATACTGTTATGTTGAATACAATTCTGTGTAGTAAAATTAATTACTTGATTGATTTATTCTTAATAAATCACATTAACTTCTGTCGCATTACTTAGAAATCAGTAAGATACTGACGTTTAAAAATACCATTTTTGTGATTCGTGCTGTTGTTTATGTATATATATATATGAAGTAAATCCTCATTTTGTGGAAATAATTTAAATTATTCGCACCGAATTCAGAAAACAATAAGTGAATCTCTCCTAAGATATCCCTTTGTAAGACGGTGAATTAAGTAAAAGTAAAAGTAGTATGTACTCAGCTTAAACGAAATAATAAAATTAGGTTCGATATACAGTTGGCATTAGGGATTATGAAGACTGAAATCTTACACAACAAACACATGCCATTCAATATATTTTGTAGGGACCCACCCCTACTAATGAAGGATGATGGTATCACCACAATCGATATGTAGGATAAGTTCCCTAACTTTGACACTGACTGGGACGCCTAGCACAGTAATTCAGAGTAGGAAAAGCATGAGGGCAGTAACTCAGAATAAATGAAAGACGATAATAAAGACATGATAACAGTAGAACACATTCACTGTGCATATCATTTTGTATTTCCTGTACTATAGGTCACAGTTGATTTAATAAATTATAGGACTGGGCAAAATAAAGTAGGTTGAGAAGCTTTTAGCCCGACGCCAAGTGTGTGGCCCCGAAACAATTTAGGATACTTAGACGACTGTACGCGTCCTCACATTCATCACTAAGTAATACTTCATTTAAAACGTTCGACAAGGGGAAGTCACATTTTTATGAACCGAATAGCGAAGTTCACCATAGGTTTAATATATTAAAACTTTATCCTTTTGCAGCATTTATCGGTATCAACTAACTTCATTTTACAGACTAAGCAGAATATTGACGACGTACCAGTTACATTGATAACGCTTTTTTAAGAAATAATAGACAGCAATAGTAACTTACCGTAACTCCAACAGCCGTCAAAGGAGAGGAACACTGAAGTTGATGAAGCTCCTTACCATTCTGTAGATCTGTAAACTTTACCAGCTTGTCTAGTGAAACGGAAAAAAGGACTTCTTCATTAGTGACCGGATGGTGCTCAATAAACATGCCGGTGATAACTTTATAATGAAGATGAAGACTCTGATTTTCTCCATAATTCAGAAACTTTTTGGCAGAGAAGTCCCAAGACTGTACAACAGAACCAGCAGCGATCGCCAAAATCTTGTCTGTTTTGTTAAGTGAGAGAGCCGAAACAGCAACCGGAACAGTTATTTTACTGACAGGCTTTGGCTGGTTGAAAAAAACATCAATTAAATAATTACAGAGTACTTCTGGATGATAAAATAGAGCACTTTTACAAAACCATATGAATTCGCTTTCTGTAAGCTGATGAGTTTGTCCGGCTAACTTAACATTGGGGGTGGGAGGGTGTTGAGACCGTGTTCGACTGTCTCACATATGAACACCTATGAAGTTAACTACAGTTCCATTAATGGTCTACACTATGACCTATAGTACTAGAATGAGTACATAAAAGCTGCTGAAGACGACAAATAGGATTTGTACAATCGACAGAGTACAGCTGGTCACTAACTGAAGAAACCAGCTTAGATACGCTGCATTATTGATATAAGGATAAAAATTGGTCACTGTGATAGAGTACTATTCCGCGATGTTTAAAATTTTTATCTTGATAGTCACAGTGTAATACAGTAATATTTACTAATGACGTTCGGAGCACAATTTATTGCTTATAATCATATCACGGTACAACTTGCTCGTTTATATATATATATATATATATATATATATATATATATATAAGTTGATCAGACATAAGAATTAAATCAATAAAACTTCAATAGACATATGTGAAACAGAAAGGAAGATATAGTACATTCGAAAGTAATGTTATTGTCAATAAAATATTGTACGATGAGAAATATACTTAATAGATATGCTGCACTCATAATATGCATCTAATACGTCGAACTAAGGTGTTAAGATCAGGGATCTTTACATAAATCAAATGACACAAAAGCATGAGAGTGAAACTTTACCTCACGGATATCGCAAATAACGACGTTGCCGTTGAGATCACCGTAGCATAAAAGATTATTGTTATCTCTACCCATCGTCATGGCACGGGCAACTTCTTTTTCAACGTCGACAGAATATTCACCAAGACGAGAGCCAAGTGTAACATCCCATATGCGCACTTTTGCATCTGATCCAAGACTTGCAGCACGTAAGCCATCCATGGAAAATAAAGCCATTGAGACAGAACTGTGATATTACCCAATACAAAAGTTATATTTACCCTTTATGAGCCTTAATTTTTCTCAAGTGAAATTTGTTCTTATCCGTTGTACACATACGAACGGTCCCTCCTTCTTCACCAACTATAATCATCTTCCCATCGTTTCGAAAAGCACAACACATCACTCGTGCTGAAAAACCACCCAACTTTCGGAAACGTTTATCTCCATCACATTTGTAAAGGTTCACCTGCAATAATTAATTATAAAATATAAATGAACTGACATTGTAACCGTCAGGAAGGCCGTATTTATATGGTGGTGATGAACAAATGGCAACAGAGTTAATGCGGTGAGCAAGTTGTATAGGTTTCCCATTCTAAAACTGTTAAGACTATATTTATTCTACTTTGTATTCGTCCCAGACACCAACTGCCCCTTGTTTCTGTACATACGGGGCCAACACACTATGAGCTACAGTCATCATGATAGCTGCATATGCAGTAGCACTCCACTTGAATTATGCGGGTATTAAGTATAGATTTCTGAGTTCTTATTAGTTTTTGAAAGTTGAAATACCTATGTTGACAGTATTATCACTTATTTCCACGCTTTTTCGGCCTAACCACTATAAAATGAACTAACGCTGCTTTCAGACCACATATATTTCAATTTCAATCTGTTAGATACAATCCTTTTTTAGCTCGTAACCTTTCATTTCCTCCTCACATGACCTCCTACGTGCCGCTGTCGGACGCTCAACCTCCTGCTTCCCATTTCTGTTTTACTTGACGACCTGGCGTGTAATATCACCCAGCTGTATCCCACAGTCCAGTCCATCTCCGTTTCTTTCTGCATATATATTGGACGGCGGACAACTGACAAGTTGATTACCAGAATTCGTTGTCAGTATTGCCTTGAATCCCGAACTCGTTCATCGTGCAAAGAGTAGAATACCTCCGAATGGACTCTAGTGTTATGGAAACCTGCATCGCATTCCTGATTCTGGTTGGCTTTAACATCTCCTAATAAATATCAGAGAACTTCAGAGTGTCCTTAACGGTGTTTCCTCGGAGACGTTGCTTAACGTCTCCAACTATTTTTAATAGCTGTGGTTTATATGTTCTTTGTATTTTCTATCTTCGTTTTCTGGGTTTCAACCTAGAAATGGATTCTGTCTGCAAACTTCTTGAGGAATTGTAACCTGAATCTTAAGGCCTCTCGTGTGAGATAATGCTCTGATCCCACATCTTTTTTTAGTAGTCGGTATACTGTCTCTTCGTTTCTTGAAGTTCAGATGAAGCCTATCAGATCTTTGGCACGTCCACCTGGTGATATCCATGCCGCTTTGTTTATGTTGTTGTGCCTGTAAACACCACCTTCAATCACCAAATCACTTAATGAACAAAAGTCAACAAAGAGTCCTCCGTTATCATTTATTCTGCCTACAGCCTCTCGACTAAGTGTGAGTTACCTCCTTTTATTTCCCTATTCTATTCTGGCTGGCACACATATCATTCACCAGAATCTTGATGTCTTCATCTGAGGTCTTGTCCATTATTTGTTGTAGCTGTAGAAGTTCTGCATCCTCCTTGCCCTACGTCCTTATTAGGAAAGCAGCATTTTGTGACCATAACTTCTCCACCTTTCCAATTGAGACTTAATTTTCAAATAATCAGCTAGCGCAAATCAAATCGAACTGGTTGAGCCTGCAGTGATCTCCTCCCCAATTGGATTTGTAGCTATTGTTGCATCACGATCAAACAGTGTACTAAGGAAGCTACCACTCTAATGCGGGTGGTGTTGAAGCTTTAAGACTGCAGATTCTCCCAACGCGGAGTAAAAACAGTCAACACCCAGACACCAGTGGTGCTGTTAGCACTGCTGTCAATTCGGTAGTTATTCTTGATGAGATATTATTCGGAGGCATTGGATGCACCACCCCTAATCCCCCTACGTACTCATAGTAAAGACTGAGGACCCACAACAGCAGTCGCCGGACAAGGCCATTATACTGCGGGTTTGTCCTCGTCCACAATGCGAGTGAAAGGTGAGCAGTTACCACCGTATCCAGGTTGATAATATGCCAGTGAAATGGATAATGTTCAACTACAAATGTCCCAAAATCCTTGAAAAGTATAAAGAGTCGGTCACTCCAAAGAAAAGATTAAGCAGCACCAAAGTTGATCTCTCTGATAGGCAGATCATATTCTACAAAACAGATAAATCCAAAGTTTCAAACCATAAGGCTAGTTCTCAACGTGGTCTCAGTATAGTAAGCCGATTTCAGACAAGTTACTACCTAAACAGTGGCAGATATAACCACTTGTAATGTGCATATAATCATCCAAAAGCCTGACTGCAAATAAAATTAGTCGGTACGCTTTCTAAAAGTCACATAAGTTCAGAAACTGAAAGGGATGCGCCCCTATTCAGCGCTCATACTCCCAAGGGATTAGGCACTAAGTTTATTGAAAACATACCTAGCGGACTGCACTGAAAGAGTTAGGCAAATGGAGAGACAAAGCTTAATGTTAAGACATTTCAGATTGTGTAATTTCGGCGTTAAATGACACCCAAGACTTTCAGGATAGGGAGGGGAATTGCAGTGTCTCTACAGTAAAGTATGCTACAAACACTAAAATCTAGTTAGCGATTAGGGAATTCAGAAGGAAAAAAGGGATGCCCCAGTGGGAGCTATGTATCACTTATCACTTGTAAGGATTTCCTTATCTAGCGAATAATTAATGTACTTCCGTGTGATTGTCTAAGTCTCCCACTTCTTATGCCCTGTGCCGTGCTTTCAAAAATGAACGTTTAAAACGAAATCAACCCCCCTAGAATAATGCAGGCTGCTGGTTGGTAATTTAGGCAATTATTTTAATAGAAATGTCAGTTTCCAAATTAATAAGCCGGTCGCTCTCACATTCCGCCTTTCATTTTATTATATATGGCTATAATCTATAGTTTCTTGACTTTCACTTGTGCGCACTTTTTAGTTTAATTTGCCTATTTGCCACAGTGTCTCAGTTGCCATACACGGAAAGCGATTATAAAAGCCCCAATTCTGCGGAGGTTCTTTAGAAATTGACAAGGACGAACCTCATGAAATCGGTAGAAATGACATGGAATTATGGTTTGCTCAACTAGGGCACCATTTTGACTGGTAAATTATTAGGTCTAAAACTCAAAGGTATGGAGACATGCGTCCCTCAGCAAAGACTTCCTAGTAAGTTGTGACTTGCTAGTGGATACTTAGAGGAGACATTTGACGACGAAAGAAACCTCTGGCTAGACGAGTGGCACGCTGAGCGGACGCCGCTCGCTGAATCCGGCCAAGTAACCGCTGGTGTCAGACAGAAAGCCTTCGAGAATACCAGTGAAAATTTCATCCGCAACAACAACCAACTCCGAAACGCCCAGAGTGGGACTGAAGGTTATTCACACTACAAGAACATATGGCCCTAGACCGAAAATAACTTTACTTTACTAATGGGCTTCGATGTGCTACAATTTCCACTAAAATAGGCTTAGTTCGCGGCTATTATAATATTCCGGTGGCTGAGGAAGACATATTTAAAGACTTTATTCCCACGCCATTTGGATTATGTGAGTGCTGTATGGATGCCATTCGGCCTTCTAATCGCTGCACGAACTTCTCAACTAATAATGGAGTCTTGTTGTGCGAACTGCCGTTCGCCGATTCGTACATGGGTGACCCGCTCATCGCTAGCTAGAACGCCAGCACACATAAAGACCGCAGCGGAGCAGAATCACGCAAACCCGAAGAAAACGGCATGATATTTAATAATAATATGCTATATTCCAAAACAGCGCTAATGTTACAGTGTGGAATTTTCAGCCTTTGGTGCACTATTGCAACTTATTTCATCGAATAATATTAAAAACAATTATGAAGATAATATCAAAGGATTATCGGTGACGATTCTTATTTGGTATTAGTGGTGACAGTAAGATCATAAACAAAAAACAGAAGATGTAAAACAATGATAGTAATATTTGTAGTTAAGATTATAAATCATTATATCGAACAATAAATGTTTATTTTATTATATTATTATTTTTAAATATGTTTACCAGTCACCTATGTAATTCATCATATTGATGATGCCTGTAAACTGGCGTCCCTCATGTACAAAAAATGAGGATATATTATTATTAATATTATTAATAACAACATCGAAAACGATTTTAGGAATAATATTACAGGACTGCTAATTACATTTCTTATATGACGCTTAAAGTTATTATCAAAACCTGAATTGGGTATAGGGATGAATTCAATGTCTTTCCACGCAGCAGTTACAGTTTGTAAGTGTGTAACATAAAATATCAGAATAATAGCAGGTGTACCATCAGAACCTGGGCTTAATGAAAGTTTTAGAGGTTCCAAACACTTAAGAATATCAGAATTGTAAAAACCGTGAAGGTTGCTGAACTTGTTATTTGTTATACTAGGGACAAACACATGTTCAGGAGATCGTTTGAAGAATTCGCTGACAGTATTTACGTTAACAGAGGGGACACTAATATATCTCTGGCTAGAACCTGTGATTTCACTGTAGAGTTTCCCTATATCTCAAGGAGTTTTACAAGGCAACAGACTTTGGTTATAAATTGTGTTCAACCTTTGGATTTTTGATTTAACCGCTCTTCTTGTCCTTGTAGCTTTTTAGGATGGGGAAAAGAGAAACGTCCAAGCCCTTTAAATAACGTCTATTTAGAGTAGATATCTCCTACCCAATTCACCCACACAGCTCTGAAGTTTTCTGGGGTATGTCAAATTTATCTGGTTTTATTCCTTATTGCACATAGCACACACACACCCTGACTGATACACTAAGGGGGGTCCAAATGTATTTCGGTTGGCAAAAAAAGCATCCAATGCACTTTCGCAAGTGAAAGTCACACTGGAGAAAGCTTCATCCATGAAATGCCGTGATGTACACGCCCCTGTTGCAATAATGGCAAACACATCAGATAAGGCTTCAGGGGCAGCTCTATACCAGCTGAATGGCAATAGCCTGGAACCTAAAGGAGTCTTTCCTAAACAACTTAACACTGCAGAAACGAGATATTCTACGTTTGGTATCCTACCTAGCAGTTATGTACTTCTGCCTCACTACTGATTCAGATCACAAACTCCTTACTTATGCACTCGATGCAAAAACAGACAAATGCTGACCACAAGAAATTCGTCGCCTTGAATTTTCATCACAGTTTAACATTGATATAAGACATAGGGAGGAGGCGAGGAATTGTGTGGTTGGTGCACTGTTCTAAGTGAACGTGAATACAGTGCAACAAACCACTGTAGACTTCAAATCACCGGCTGAAAATCAAAAGAACGATGAAGAGTTAAAGCATATCCTCACAGCGAATAACTGCAGTGTGGAACTGATGCAGTCGCCATCTTCTATAGATGGCAAATTAATATGCTGAGGCACATCGGAAGATTCAGCCAGACTCTTCGTTCCTGAAATTATGAGGGAAGCCTTATTTAGTAATTGTCACTGGTTATTGCTACCTTGATCGAAAGCTTCGGCTAAAATATTCTTTAAAGGATGTATGCGACAGAACCCACAATAGGACCTGTAGAAATGGAGGAGAGAATGCACGTCACATCAGAGGGCAGCGGTAAGCAGACACGCAAGTCACCCCTAGGAACATCCTCGCAGTCGTATACTCGT